ATAGTAATATACCTACGGAGACACAAGTTCGAATCCGATTTTATTTTATCGTATTTTGTAGCGGTTTCCATTGCCCGGGAACCAAATCATTCAAAGATTATAAAGATAAATGTTTGTAACTCATGCAAAAATTACTGGTCAGTTTTTGAAGAAACTTTACAATGTTAATGTTAATGTTAAAAGTAAAACTAATGCTTTGGTACTAGGTAGCTTGTGAAGTCGCGGGCTACATCTACCTAGTTCCTGCCTATTTGCTTACTTAGTGAGAATTTCTCACACAGAAACGTGTACCTATGACCTGTGTGGGTCTGTGGGTCAGGCTCATGTAGCCACGTATTTCATAAGTAGCTAGAGCTGTTTTCGATCGGGATTAATAAAAAATGTGAGAATGTGACCATCTTCTATCTACGTGCAAAAATGTATTAATTACCTACTAAACAATAAAGATTATAATTTGAATTTGGCTGCTATGGAGGTGTGTACCTACGTCCTACACGTGTACTAAAATAGCGATTAGATATTCCAAATAGTAGCAATGACGTACTAACTGTAGACGTAATTATGTAGATAAGTCTTTGAAATTAGATTTGGGCTTGTAGAAATATTTAAATGGTTAATTTGCCTTTGCATAAGTACTAGTAGCACTAAAATATGAAGTTACATTACTTGGCTCTGTACCTATAGCCTTGACCCGGAGGTTGAACGCTGTGAGGAGTGATAACAATGTCAACACTACAACTCCTTTGAATTTACACGTACCTAAATACGTAAGTGCTTGTTTCCTCTTATCATAGATGACAGATATATCTACCAATATCTACACAACATGAAGTCTAGCATGGCTAGTAACTGGCACTTGTTTTCGCAATATTGAGTGAGGTGAGCATTTTGGGCCTCTTATCAATAACCGCAGACCAGTTTATCATTTAACTGGGCTGATAAATTTGTTGAGGTAATATTGGGGAAATAATAACAATTTGATGTCGAAATGTTCTGCAAATAAATCATCATCATCATTTCAGCCATAGGACGTCCATTGTTGAACATAGGCCTCCCCCAATGCTTTCCATGTTGATTGATTGCAAATAAATACCTAACGGAAAAGTTACTAAAATAAAATATATGCGTTCTATACAAAGACTTTAATAAACTTTAAATACAAATAAATGCGTAAAATACACTGTAAACCTTAAAATCCCAGTAACGAAAAATAGTTCAAAATTTTTAAATTTTTTGTGACAAAAATAAATAATAAAGTTATCAAAGATTACTCTTGAATTTATGTTCAGGCAGTCATTTGCCGAGACTCTTCTTCAAGTTTTCAGCCAGTTTGTCCATAAATTCGAATGTTTCGTAGTAATCTGCCCTCTTGACATTGTTCATTCCCTTAATGCAAATAGCGAGATCCTTTGTCATTACTCCAGATTCAATAGTGTCAACGCAGACCTTCTCCAGAGTTTCTGCGAAGTTCTTGAGTGCGTCGTTGTTGTCTAACTTCGCGCGGTGCAGGAGGCCTCTGGTCCATGCAAAGATGGAAGCAATAGGGTTAGTGGATGTCTCCTTTCCTTGCTGGTAGAAACGATAGTGCCTTGTGACGGTACCGTGAGCTGCTTCAGCCTCCACTGTCTTTCCATCAGGGCAAATGAGCACAGATGTCATAAGACCGAGAGATCCATAGCCCTGGGCGACTGAATCAGACTGTACATCACCATCGTAGTTCTTGCAAGCCCAAACAAAGCCACCCTCGGACTTCATAGCATAGGCAACCATGTCGTCAATCAGTCTGTGCTCGTACCAAATACCCTTAGCTTCGAACTGCGCCTTGTACTCCTTTTCGTAAATTTCCTGGAAAATGTCCTTGAATCTGCCGTCGTATTTCTTGAGAATGGTGTTCTTGGTGCTCAAGTAAAGAGGGTATGCTCTATCTAAAGCATATTTGAATGATGAATGAGCGAAATCTACAATGGAAGCGTCAGTGTTGAACATTCCTAAGGCAACACCAGCACCTTTGAATTCGTTTACTACATGCTTAATGGGTTGTCCAGAAGGAGGTGTCCAGATAAGTTCCAATTTACCTTCTCCTGGTACGACGAAGTCTGTAGCTTTGTATTGGTCAGCATGGGCATGACGACCAATGATGATAGGCTTTTCCCAGCCAGTTACAAGACGCGGAATGTTCTTGCAAATGATTGCCTCTCTGAAGACAGTGCCGCCAAGAATGTTACGGATGGTACCATTGGGACTCTTCCACATCTTTTTCAACTTGAATTCTTCAACTCTTTTCTCATCGGGGGTGATGGTGGCGCACTTAATACCGACATTGTATTTTTTTATGGCGTTAGCACAATCAATGGTGACCTGGTCGTCAGTCTTATCACGGTATTCCATACCCAAATCATAGGTGTGCAGTTCGATGTCTAAGAAGGGCAAAATCAACTTATCTTTAATGAGATCCCAGATGATTCTGGTCATCTCATCTCCCAAGATGTCGACGACGGGTCCTGCCTTTATCTTCGACATTGTGGTAGTACTGTAAACAATGAGAGGAAAATTGTTAAAAATAATTTCCATGACATCAAATAGCTTAACTACATCCTATTGTATCTACTGTTAATTTTAAATAAATAAGTTAGGCAGTCATTAACAGTGATTTTACTACAGATAACAATTTCTAAAAAATATTTGAGGCCCTATTACAATTTCCATATAAATTATTGTGTACCACAATTTTATTAAAACTGTGTAAGTAGCTATGTAAATCAATTTTTTGGAAAAAAATTGTATTATGTTGTTATTGTTAATGTACATTGTTTATAATTTTAAGAAGACTCGTTTTATTGTTATAAGTTTAATAGCCTAGCTAAAGTAATAACAACAATATTTGCCACACATCATTATCTAACACATAACATAGATAGCAGTTAGCCACAAAGATAACAGTATGATTTTAAATAGAATTGAAAAAAAAAAATGTCTGTAACAAGAATAATTTTCTCTTTTTGATGATAGTGATCAAGGTCCTAAGATTTTTTTTTTCAATTTTGAAATTTTACAAAAGTTAGGTAGGTAGAATTTTATGATTAAACTGGAGATTTTCTCTTTTTGATGATAGTGATCAAGGTCCTAAGATTTTTTTTTTCAATTTTGAAATTTTACAAAAGTTAGGTAGGTAGAATTTTATGATTAAACTGGAGAAATTTCTAAACTCAGAAGAAAGTGTTTATAAACTTTAAATAAGCATAAAAAATGTAAAGCTTTAATTATTATGTAACATTTCATAAAATATATTATATGGGAAGTGCTTAGCTATTTCTGAATGACTTATATTTCAATTTACAGTTATGTTTCTTCTACCTACATTATTATCTGTCACAATCACAGCAAAAACAGCTACTTATTTCAATATGCAATGACCTTCAACCTTTGATATTGTAAAAACAACACTTTTCTGTTCTTATGAATAAATGTAACACTTATTTAGTCTTGTAATATCAGTGTTATGTGGACAGTTTCTATGACCTTGATTACAATTAGCATAATACTCCTATTAAACAATGAGCTAAATGGTTTCTAGAAAATGATGGATACCATATTCATATTTTGATCAATAGAAACAGTTATAAGCAACACATAAGAACACCCTTAGCATAGTATCCAATTTAAGCCAATAATTTGATTAATTGGATAAATAGTATGCGGAATGTTAAATGCCTGAGTTTAAAATTTATCAATAAAACCTGAACATTATTCAAAAGGGCTTGTTATTTATTGTGGGTAGTACTGATAGAATAATCAAATTCTAAAACAGTTAATTTCTAAAGCAACCATTTATACTTGCAAAACAAGTTTGCCTTAGTACAAAGTTCAACAATTTGTAAATGAGTAAATAAAATATACTTCTAGAGGAAATTTACGGCGAACCGGTACCTACGTCATTAAATTAACGAGCTAACTAAGCACTAATATAAATACCTAACTTTATAACTGTAACTTATTTGCTTACCAGCTGCAGATATCAAGATATCAGGAATGTTAACTATTACAAGATGACGGACTCGTCGTACTTGCACCACGACGCAGACAGGACTAATTGGAAGTTGATAGCTACACACAGTAATATGCCTCACACCAAAGAACTAGGTAAGCAACAGCGGTGCTCACGATTGGTCGTGTGAAGTATACTGAATGTACGAGACGCGTTTCATGATAACATTACGGCACGATTGCATGTTTTGCTTCTAATAAATTTAGAATAATTCGGTACATACCCCTGTTTAATCTGGTAAAAGAAAGTGGAGAAAGCTTCAGCAGCAAACTCAGCTCAGGAGAAGGTAGGTAAAAAATGTCAATGTCAAAAATTGTGAGACGTCATCAACATCTGATATCTGTCAAATTGCTGGCCAAAATCAAATGTTCATTGCTGAAATTATGACATAAAATGCAACACCACAGTTTTTGCTTTTTTGTGCCACAAACTCAAAAATAAAACAACGAAAAGAGACTTCATTATTTCTTTTGATGCACTTTCACTAGGTTTTTTTACAAGTATTTAATTTGAGTGTGCTCATAAGAGATGAGCACACTCAAATTGTTTTAATTAGCTTATCCTCTACTTGAGTATGATGGTGAACCCAAGCCTATTTTTGATGTTGAGTAAAGGTAAAGTGAAACTTTAAATTAAGTAATTATTGCTTCAGCCTAACATTTTTTTTGGATCCGAAACCATTAAACCACATTGATAACATTAAACCTCTGTACCGTGATTCGAAGCATATAAACAATATGAGAATGTCGTACTATTTGCCTCTCTTTCTTTCCTGTTGTCAGTGTGTATATAGCCGTCTCTGTCGCACACCTCCCCCCCTCTGGCCAGGCAGCGTGAGCGCTGCGCGCTTTCGTTTTTACCTTTGGCGTCTTTTGCCTCGTCGAGTGCACACCTNCCATCTCCGAAAATATATTTTACTCTGTGACTGTGGGCAAAAAAGTGTAGCCCCAATCTTCGAAAATTAAAAAGCTCAAAACCCAAAATATTGATTGATTGATTGAAAATACGCTGCAAATGTAAATTATTTTTTTCTAAAAATTAACAAATAGCTGAATAAAATGCGTCGAAATAATTTTTAGTTAACACGTCACTTAAGTGCTGGTCTTGTTTTTGTTGGTGTTGGTTCTTTGAGTGATACGAAATGGTGATTCAAAAGAGTTGGAGTAACGTAGAAGTGACGCCTCAAAATACGCCTGATAATTCGGCTAGCAGTTCATGGAATTTTCAGGCTCCGACCAAAACGCTAATTGTACGTGCTAGCGACACAAGCGCAGCGAACATGCAGGTAAATAAGTAATGTCGCCAACATTTAAATATTGCTTTATTTTACACTGGTAGAATTCATTACTATAAATCTTTAATTTATTCATAAAAATCTTTTATTGAATTAAATATGTGCATTTCGTGATGTAAGCTTGTCTACACTACGTGTGACAGTAGAATGTACATAAATATACATCTGGCAAATGGGTGTCACACCCTTGGCCTTGAATTCAATTACAAGCTTTACTTTGATAATCTCTTCATTATACTATCGTAGCAACAATTGTAACTAAAAATAGTGTTTAAATTTAAAACATTTTACTTTATATGAGTATTTTTACGCTTCAGAAACAGCCAATAACACGGCAAATTGCCATCAACACACTTGCTGCTATGCACCGACGATTCAGCCTTCCCGGTCCGGTTCAACCTCATTCAAGGCCAATAGCAGAGTTCCGGGCGAGTGCTAACAAGTCCCTGGACATGTTAAGACAGACCATACAGTCAGCCGTCACGAGAGAAATTGATCAAGTCATCAAAAAGTACCTGGAGGTTCGTTTAAACACTTTTAATTTTAATGTTGGATTGTACCATCTTTTACTTTAACTTTAGCTATCATCAAAAAATCTGTCAACTCCGTACAAAAAACACCAGTTACTGTTAAAGTTAGGTGGTGCAACTCAGCCTAAGAATCAGTTAAGGTATCAGACATCAACATTCTGTACTTAATTATTAGTACACAAACATTTGATGTGTTATGTATGAATCACAACACATGAACAGAATTATGATTCCTGATAATTTAAACCTGTCCTTATTTTATTGTTGACATATTGATAACTCTGCAATTAGTAACAGCCTCAAACAAATTAATGCAGTACAGTAGAATCTCGATTATCCGGACCTCGATTATCCAGATATCCGATTATCCGGACTCATTCTTCACGGTTTCTAATTACCGATTCAGGGTCTGGACCCATAAAAACCGAAGGCGCCGCCACCGTAACATGGTACGGACGTCTTCATAGTTCATTGTTAAAAGAAATGGATGACCAATGGTCTAAAATTTAGATTTTTAGACTCTAAAATGATGTATTGAAAACCCTTTCTATTGTAAAAAGTTATTTATTGTTTGATTTTACTTTGAAATCGATTATCCGGATTTTCGATTATCCGGAACACCCCTGGTTTTAATTGATCCGGATAATCGGGATTCTACTGTATTTATTTGTTAGATAAGAACAAAGTATGCTGATCGTTTATTTCTGTTTACACACATTGAATGAGAACAATGAATGAAAGTAAGTTACATTGCTTTTCAGAAATTCTTTGTTCCTGCGGTTAACAATATAAGGCTGAATTTGGGAGATGAATCAGTGAGTGAAGATCAGGTTGGTATTTTAATAACATTTTTTAATAAATAGCTTTTACTGTGAGGATTTTTATTTCATAATGAATTATAATAGGTAGTTACTATTCTTCAGAAAACTTTAGTCATAATCCTCATACATAACAGAAGAAGATTGTTTTTGTAAAGGCCTCACATTGGTAGATTAGCTGTAGTAAATTGACCGCCTCTGTGGTCTAGTGGTAAGACCACTTGCTTCAGATGCAGAGGTCCCGGGTTCGATTCCCAGTGGGGGCAGATTTTTTTCTGTTCGGTTTGGTTGGTGGTAGAGCTTGTTCTAAGTCCGCCTGGCTAGCTACCACCATCTTACCTTAGTTTGTCGCCATAACAACAATGTTAACAGCATTGTTGTGTTCCGGCAGTTAAAAGTAACATAGCCAGTTCCTCCGTGGTTGAGGATTCCGGGTGAAGCTCGCTTCCACCTTCGGCCTGATCATCACTTACCGTCAGATGAGATACGGGCCAAGAGCTTCCTCGTTGTGGATAAAAAAAAAATATTGAATCCTTTATTTCATCATCATCATTTCAGCCATATGACATCCATTGCTGATCATAGCTCATAGGCTTGACTTTGACTTTGACTTTATGACCTTATTTAATATTTAAATGACTTTACAGGTGCGAGCAGTATGCCGAGCTATGTTGGACGCAACGCGACTCCTGTACACAACGCCGCCAAAACCTACCCCGTCACCTCAAGAACACAGTGATTCTGAATCCAACAATAGCACAGACACCAAATTCACCAAGCAGGTAAGTCAATTACATAAATTCTCTTAATGTCGAAGATCATTTTATTGATTTTATTCATTCTGTAAACATAGAGGATGTATAATGATAGCATAGTGGTGTAACATAAAAATTTTCTTAAATATTTATTTATAGGTACTCCTTTTCAAAGTGTCTTCATGTTTTGACTGTATTGTCATATTTTATTACATGTATTGCTATATTTTGGTAATGGATTACTTATTCGTGCGTGTTAGGTCAGCTATGTATTAACAAAAACACCGTATCATAACTTTCTACGTAACAGTTGCAGAGTCCATCCCAAAAGCGCAAAGAAGTGGAACTAGATACCGATTTGGGCTTCAGACGCAAGAAAATAAAGCAAGAAGACAATTCAGACAGCGCTTCTTCGTCCCCTCTGCCGTCGCCAGCCCTAAGAGACCCGGAGAAGTGGAATCCTTCAAGACTCACCCAAGACACATTGTTCATTATGGGGTCTCATGCACATAAAGTATGTAAATATATTTTCAAAGATACTCTGTCAATTTGCCCCTTATGCCAATCTAAATATCCTTGTGTTAAGAGTAGGTTCACCATAATAGTTAGATTGTACCAACGTGACTTGGATATTGAGTTGGTCAGTCATCCTTGGGATTCATACACTTACACAGCACATAAAATAAATGTATTTTCAAAGATAAATACTCTGTCAGTTTATTCCTCGTACTAATCTAAATATACCCAGTCCGACACCTTCACTATTGGACTATTGGCGCCTTATTATTGTAGCTACATATGTGTACACTATAAAGAACTCGATCTAACTTGGAATTTTGATTTTTCTGTTATTAATCTTAAATTAAATAAAGTAACTGTTAAAAATATCTTTTTAATCTCTATTCCTCATCTAAATAACTGTGATTTACAGGTCCTGGGACTGGGTAACTCGCGCGGGCGCCTGTACACCAGACACGCCGGGTTGCTCCGTTACCCTGCGGACAGCGCTGATAAAGAGTGGATCGCCAGCCACAACTTGGTCAATGCTGTTGGCGGGAAAACTTACATCATGGTGAGATTTGATTATGATTATTGATAAATGGAAAGCGCAGCGTAAAACGTCCACCCACAAGGTGGACCGACGACCTCATAAAGGTAGCAGGAAGGCGCTGGATGCAGGCCGCCACCAGCCGGCTATTGTGGAAATCATTGGGGGAGGCCTATGTTTAGCAGTGGGTGTCCTATGGCTGAAATGATGATGATGATGATTGATAAGCGTGAAATTTGAAGGGCTATCAAAGTATCAAGTTTTCAGTCTGATTGAGCCATGTCACACTCTGAGGGTGGTTTTAAGTCCGACCGGGGTCGCTAAATCTTGACACCATCAATAAAGAGTATTGGAAGTTCAATTTATTCGTCAAAAAAATAGTACAGCGTTCGTTTGTATGCTTATTGTATAGTATTTACATTTATTCTCTCTCTCTTTTAATACCATCTTGAAAGAGATGTGAATCTAATTAAATAATTAATTAATATACTGCTTTACTTTTTCAGGTATTAGAAGACATTGAAGAGCTGGCAAAAAGCGACGCGTACAAACACAATTCCTTGCCGATGCTCGGCGAACTTACGGGCTTTAAAGTCCCTCCGTTCATGCTCCGCAAAATAAAGACGTACATCACTAAAAGAATCATGAGTACTGACAATGTAGAGAGCCCTCAACCGTCCACTAGTAACCCAGAGGAAGTAAAACTAGAAGACATAAAGATAGAACCACCGTCTTCTAACTATGACAGCAATAATTTCAACGCTAGTCAGTACATCACTAGCTCAGATGATACGAGGGACTTCCCCGAAGTACCCAGTCTGAAGGACGATGGAGATTTCGCTGATATAAAAGTCGAGGACATTGATGACATAAAGGTGGACAACATAAAGGTTGAGGATTTGGATGAGATAGATAAAGTCGATGGAATAAAAGTCGGCGATTTGGACGTGAGCGTCAAAATTGAGAGTATCGATGACATTGATGGCATCAAAGTTGAGGATATAAAACTGGAGAATGACGATGCGTTTTCGCTTTGTAAAGACACTGACGATGATCAGAATCCATTGATCGATGGGCTGGTTGAAGCCGATATTGAGTTTTTGAGCAGGAACTTGGGAAATATCGAGAGCGATGCCGACGCTAGGAAGGCTATTGAGAAACTGACGGGAGCCAATCCAGATACCATCACTTTGGTAGGCGATGAGTTTGATTTGGGATCTACACTTAACAATACTACTGTGAGTATTATTATAGTTTCTGTTTATCTTGCAATATAATACTCCACCGATTTTTGTGCCAGTATTAGCAACGGTATTGTTACGGATTATGCTAGGGGCATGAATAGAACGACCTCTCACGGTAAAGTACGCATCATAGAATATGAAGCCTTGCTTGCTGGCTGGAAAAAAGGCCGTAAATGATAATTTTATTTCCAAGTGTAAAATTTTACTTATTTTAAAATTAAAGTTAGAAGAATTGTAATAAAATAACATTGTGTATTTACAGTTCACCACCAACCAGACAAAATGCATCACAGTAGCGTCAACCACAAGCGGAATGATTCACAGCGTGCCTGTGGCCCACATCGCGCCTCCGCGTATCACTGGCAGTACTGTGCATTANTTTTTTTCTGTTCGGTTTGGTTGGTGGTAGAGCTTGTTCTAAGTCCGCCTGGCTAGCTACCACCATCTTACCTTAGTTTGTCGCCATAACAACAATGTTAACAGCATTGTTGTGTTCCGGCAGTTAAAAGTAAGATAGCCAGTTCCTCCGTGGTTGAGGATTCCGGGTGAAGCTCGCTTCCACCTTCGGCCTGATCATCACTTACCATCAGATGAAATACGGGCCAAGAGCTTCCTCGTTGTGGATAAAAAAAAAATATTGAATCCTTTATTTCATCATCATCATTTCAGCCATATGACATCCATTGCTGATCATAGCTCATAGGCCTATTTCTATAATAACCGGTTGGTAGAGGCCTGCGTCCAGCGCCATCCTGCTACCTTTATGACCTTATTTAATATTTTTTAAATGACTTTACAGGTGCGAGCAGTATGCCGAGCTATGTTGGACGCAACGCGACTCCTGTACACAACGCCGCCAAAACCTACTCCATCACCTCAAGAACACAGTGATTCCGAATCCAACAATAGCACAGACACCAAATTCACCAAGCAGGTAAGTCAATTACATAAATTCTCATAATTTCGAAGAACATTTTATTTATTCTGTAAACAGAGGACGTATAATAATAGCATTGTGGTGTAACATAAAATTTTTCTTAAATATTTATTTATAAGTACTCCTTTTCAAAGTGTCTTCATGTTTTGACTGTATTGTCATATTTTATTACATGTATTGCTATATTTTGGTGATAGATTACTTATTCGTGCATGTTAGGTCAGCTATGTATGTCCCAAAAAACCTTATCATAAGTTATTACGTAACAGTTGCAGAGTCCATCCCAAAAGCGCAAAGAAGTGGAACTAGATACCGACTTGGGCTTCAGACGCAAGAAAATAAAGCAAGAGGACAATTCGGACAGCGCTTCTTCGTCCCCTCTGCCGTCGCCTGCCCTGAGAGACCCGGAGAAGTGGAATCCTTCAAGACTTACCCAAGACACATTGTTCATTATGGGGTCTCATGCACATAAAGTAAATATATTTTCCATGATACTCTGTCAGTTTGCCTCTTGTGCTAATCTAAATATCCTTGTGTTAGGAGTTAGGAGTAGGTTCACCATAATAGTTTGATTGAACCAATGTGACCAGTTGGTCAGTCCGATACCAGAGTAAACACACACTGACAAAATTCAGCGCACCTCACCGCTAATCCACGCTAAATTTTGTCAGTGTGTGCGTGCGCGCCGCACACGTATTGGCGCGCTCACATACAAGCCGCGCTCGTGCGTTTCTATGAAGATGACCTACTCATTTGTATTTACTCTGCCGATACTCACCCTTGGGCTATTGTCGCCTCATTATTGAAGTCACAAAAGTATACAGAGCTCGATCTTACCTCAAATTTTTCTGTTATTAACCTACCCATTCATACACATCACATAAAATAATGTATTTTCAAAGATAAATACTCTGTCAGTTTGTTCCTCCTGCTAATCTAAATTATCCAGTCCGACACCTTCACTATTGGACTAATGGCGCCTTATTATTGTAGCTACATATGTGTACACTGTAAAGAACTCGATCTAACTTGGAATTTTGATTTTTCTGTTATTAAACTTAAATAAAAAAAGTAACTGTTTACTAAAATATCTTTTTAAATCTCTATTCCTCATCTAAATAACTGTTATTTACAGGTCCTGGGACTGGGTAACTCGCGCGGGCGCTTGTACACCAGGCACGCCGGGTTGCTCCGTTACCCTGCGGACAGCGCTGATAAAGAGTGGATCGCCAGCCACAACTTGGTGAATGCTGTTGGCGGGAAAACTTACATCATGGTGAGATTGGATTACGATTATTGATAAACCACTTCAATCCCACGATACCCCTGGTGGTATTGTGTGTGTGGGTCTCTAAAGTTTACACTTCAGACCCACGATACTATTGATAAACGTGATATATGAAGGGCTATCAAAGTATCAAGTTTTCAGTCTGATTGAGTCATGTCACACACTCCAAGGGTGGTTTTCAGTCTGACCAGGGTTGCTAAATCTTGACACCATCAATAAAGAGTAATGGAAGTTCAATAGAACAGCGTTTGTATGCCTTACTTTATTGTATAGTATTTACATTTCCCTCTCTAATACCATCTTGAAAGAGATGTGAATCTTACTAAAAAGTAAATTAAAATACTGCATTACTTTTTCAGGTGTTAGAAGACATTGAAGAGCTGGCAAAAAGCGACGCGTACAAACACAATTCCTTGCCGATGCTCGGCGAACTTACGGGCTTCAAAGTCCCTCCGTTCATGCTCCGGAAAATAAAGACATACATCACTAAAAGAATCATGAGCACTGAAAATGTAGAGAGCCCTCAACCGTCCACTAGTAACCCAGAAGAAGTGAAGCTGGAAGACATAAAGATAGAGCCACCGTCTTCGAACTATGACAGCAATAATTTCAACGCCAGTCAGTATATCACTAGCTCAGATGATACCAGGGACTTCCCCGAAGTACCCAGTCTGAAGGACGATGGAGATTTCGCTGATATAAAAGTTGAGGACATTGATGACATAAAGGTAGACAACATAAAGGTTGAGGATTTGGATGAGATAGACAAAGTCGATGGAATCAAAGTCGGCGATTTAGATGTGAGCGTCAAAATTGAGAGCATCGATGACATTGATGGCATTAAAGTTGAAGATATAAAACTGGAGAATGACGATGCGTTTTCGCTTTGTAAAGACACTGACGATGATCAGAATCCATTGATCGATGGGCTTGTGGAAGCCGATATTGAGTTTTTAAGTAGGAACTTGGGAAATATCGAGAGCGATGCTGACGCTAGGAAGGCTATTGAGAAACTGACGGGGGCTAATCCAGATACCATTACTTTGGTTGGCGATGAGTTCGACTTGGGATCTACACTCAACAATACAACTGTGAGTTTTATTATAGTTTTTTTTTATGTGACAGGAGGCAAACGATTTATTTATCTTGTAATTGAACATGTATGACTTTGAATCTCCACCTGAGCCAGTAAATTTCATTAAGAAAATATCATTGTCTACATGCAAATCTTATAATCATCCAAAATACCACTGCCCGCTAGTGCAACGGTGATAAATAAAGTAATGGGTAATGTAAAGTGAATGGAACGACACTGGCTGGCTAAAGTAGGCATAATAAAATATAAGTCTCCTTGTAGGCAAAGGGTCGTGTATTCACGTCGAAAAAGTCGTAAATTCCAGATGTAAAACCATGTTCTATTTAAAATTAAAGTCGGAAGAAGTGTATTAAGATAAAATTGTGTATTTACAGTTCACCACCAACCAGACAAAATGCATCACAGTGGCTTCGACCACAAGCGGAATGATCCACAGCGTGCCTGTGGCCCACATCGCGCCTCCGCGTATCACCGGCAGTACTGTGCATTATTACACCAGCGCTACTGTGCCACAGACGGGACAGCGGACTATACACCACTTGCCACAAGCTACAGTTACCATACAGAGCATTCCGGGCTCTACGTCCCAGATGATACGAGGGTAAGCTTTACGATACGGGTCATTCCATCGTTTCGGGTGTTACGTTCGTACACACATTTTCAACAATTTCTTGTATTTTGAAATAGTATTTTAATAATATTAGTGCCTTAATCTNAACCCCCGGTAACATTTGTCATGGAATGACCCATACATTATTTACTACACCACATTATTACACCTCCGCGTATCACCGGCAGTACCGTGCATTATTACACCAGCGCTACTGTGCCACAGACGGGACAACGGACTGTACACCACTTGCCACAAGCTACAGTTACCATACAGAGCATTCCGGGCTCTACGTCCCAGATGATACGAGGGTAAGTGCTTGCACACGTGGGCGCGGGCGCGGGCGCGGTGACGAAATATCAAACATATGTAGTGATTCAAAGTGTTCACGTACGAAACGCACGTGCGGTCTAACTAGCGGGCAAGCTAGCGACTGGNCAACTTGGTATTACAGTTGTGGTCACGTGCTATGGAATGTTGCAATTATGCTTCATAGTATAATTGTAGTGGACTATTTCTAGCGGGATTTTCTCTGGACCTTTTCTGCAGTTATGAAAATGTTAATCAGAAAAAAGTTTCAATAGAAAGCGTAGAAAATTAGAATTCATTTTATTTCTGTTTTTTGTCCTTGTTAGTTGATCCATGAGATCAACTAAGTAATTTTTCGCGCTATTCGCTGGGTGCGAAGTACTAGGTGGGGGGGACATAATCTATCGCAGCGCTCATGGTGGTCAAAAGTAGAAATAATGTTAGCTCTGTCATNCACTAAGCTTTACGATACATTATTTACTACACCACATTATCACACCTCCGCGTATCACTGGCAGTACAGTGCATTGTTACACCAGCACTATTGTGCCACAAACGGGACAGCGGACTATACATCACTTGACACAGGCTACAGTTATTATATAGCCTGACCAGGAACNATTGAATTATGTTTCCGACAAAGGTTGTCAAATTGACTGACATGTTTATCGTATAGTACAGTCCACTATGAAAATTAACTGTGGTTTGTTTTAACTACCTATTTTAAAGTTTTTTGTTCCTTTGTAACTATTGAATTTTATGGAATTGGGAAAGAAGTACCGAGTTTGAAGCGTTCATGAGCAGACATTGCAGTTGAATATATTCAAGTTCTGAATTTGATTATTGATGAATAATAAAATAAATCCAACTAGCTCGATTGATGGTTTCATTTAATTTATTTAAACCAGGTTACCTATATAATCTTTATTCGTTAATTTATGAAAATATCAAATTAGCACGAACAATAATAATAATAATAGCAAATAATCCTAAATCCTGATACATAAAGTTAGCCTATTAATTTAACGCAGGTACGACTGTACTCAGTGTTGCACTATCAAATGCAATTGACGCGCCTCTATGCCAGGGTTTTTATGTTCCTGGTCAGGCTATACAGAACATCCTGGGCTCTACATCCCAGATGATACGAGGGTGAGGATTAGTTTGAAACTCAGATGGCCTCATCAATATACCTGCTGCAGGACACTGTCACTAATAAGAATATCTCGGGCTCTGCGTCCCAGATGATACGGGGGTGAGGATTGGTTTAAAACTCATATTATGGCCTTATCAAGACATCATTACCATACAAAGTATCCCAAAGTATCATTATCTTAATAATGTTACACCACAACACTAGCATCATCAAGCTGCAAGCTGGGACAGCGGCCATAAGCCATGAACATTTTTTATGATCTTGCAAACTCAAGTGATAAGGTTCTGAAATAATAACTTTAGAGACATGAAATGACAATACAATTAATAGCGTATTCTCTTCCAGGATCCCAATCAACGCGAAATCGGGCACGTTCAGCACAGTCATGTCTCAAGGCACCGCCAGCGCCATCATCGGCTTCGGGACCCGCGCCAGCACCGCCACCCTGCTCACAGGCACCCCACAGTACGTCAATGTCTCCTCCAAGTCCTTCCCCACAGGGAACATACTACACAACGCGATCGTCTCCCGCAATATTCTAAACCGCACCAACCTCAACACTGTCACCTCAGGCGTATCGTTCAACGTGACAGCTGTCAGACCAGTCCTCCACACGACCGCCCCCAAAATAAGCACGGTCGTGACAGCCAGCACCGGCTTTGACAACATATCGACGACGAAAGATATGATCGACAACGCGTGCAACTCTTCGGTGATGCTCAAAAAAGTTCTCACTCTAGGCAGCGCGGGCGCGGCCAAATCCTTCATGATGCATAACACCCAAAAGGTCCTCTCCACGGGATTCGCTAACGGCGTCACTCCGCCGCCTAACGTCACGATCGTGAGCTCTGGAACCAGTGGGGGAATCATCAACAATTCTATCCACACGTCTAATATCGTCAGTCCCACTTCTGGCACTTTGAGCGCTACGCACGCCACTCTCTCTGCGTTACTCTCATCCGGCGAGGGAAATCCATCGCCTAAAAATTNAAAAAATTAATCAACTAGATTCCTTGTTCAGTAGTATTACGAGTCAACGTTGATCTCATTATCGATAGAATATTCTTGAATCTGCCATTATCCCTTTCCAAATATTATTCTAGTGTTCTATGGAATGTTGTATTAGTGTCAGAGAATTTGATGATTGATGTCTAAAATATATCGAGTGAGCTATATTAATAATTATAATCGATGCGGTAATTAAAATTGAAATATGCTTGCTTAATATGTCGCTCGAAAAAATCCAAAAATAACGCAATTTCTAGTGTTTTACTAAAGTAAAATCACTTTTAAAATATAATTATTACTCCTAAAGTCTGTTGTGTATTAAATTGTCGTCAAATAGAACGTTCTTAAGTATTAATGTGGCTGTGTTCCTTAGTTAAAACCTTTTAAAAATAATTAGTACAAATAAATGTTTCAATGTTTATAAGTAATGTTAGATTGTTTAGACCTAGAAGCGTGAATTAGCGTATTTAGAAAGGGCCAGGGCTTTGTAATTTATTTTTATTCCCTAAACATTTTAGTAGAATCTCTTCTTTTTACGAGACTGATTCCTGCTCTCGCTTCTAATAAGAAAAATCCCGAGGGAAACTTCAACTATCAGTCCGTAATGAAATCACGTAATCAGAAGAAAATATTCTTCTTATCTATTATTGTAACAGATAGTGCTTCTTTATCACATTTATAAGACAAGAGAAGCAAATATACGTGTCCCTTCAGAATGAGTGTTTCCATCTCATATTTTTTTCACTCTACAGGGTGGAAACGATAAGTGATCTCACCCGATCTGATTATTTATAAACTATACAAGATATCGAAAAACTGGTTACTGATCCTGAAAGTGCTTCACGAGCTCTTTCAAACGGTGCTAATAATAGGTTTCAGAATAAATTGGAACTATCCGAAAATTCAATGTTTCCAGCTTCCCTACATTTGGTAAAGTTACATAATTTTAAAAACTACACAAGGTATCGTAAAACTGGTTACTGATCCTAAAAGTGCTTCACGAGCTCTATCTAACGGTATCAATATCAAGTTACAGAATAAACTGGATCTATCCTAAAATTCAATGTTTCCGTCTTCCATACATTTAGTACTATCACAGTCATGGTACTCATCTCTTGATATAGCAAGTAAAGCCTAAAACTAATGTTTTTCACAAATAATTTTAAATAAGATGCAAGTTACGAGTTTATTTAACCGACTTTTTAAGTTTATTATTTAACAAAAAATTAATTAGACGTCTTCTAATAATGTGTCGTCTGCATACATTTAGTATGGAAGCTGGAAACATTGAATTTTGGGATAGTTCCAGTTTATTCTGTAACCTATTATTGTACCGTTACCGTATATACCGTTTAAAAGAGCTTGTGAAACACTTTCAGAATCAGTAACCAGTTTTTCGATATCTTGTATAGTTTAGAAATAATCGAGTGAGATCACTTATCGTTTCCACCCTGTATATTCTATGCCAAAGAGAATTGGTCAACTACAGCCGAGTTGCTAATCGTGCACAAATATAATTTCATTTTATGTCACTTTGTACCTTAATTAATTACTTCTCTTTCTATAGCCAACCCTGGCCCTTACCAGTGATATTCCTAAAACTCGCGTTGCTTTAAATAATTCGAATAACTTACTGCCAGTTTGTAAAATTACTTATAAGTATAAAAGCATTAGAATGCAGGATATTATCTTGAAAGTTGTTTAAATGCGCCATAAAGACATATTCTAATATAAATAATGCATATTTTTTGATTTTGTATACTGTTCTATTTTTTTATGTAACCTGTGTGTAAAATAATTATGTACCTGTGTTGTGACTGCTAGTGTTGTATGTTATTGTGTATTTTGTTGATCTTTGCAGCTTTAATTTATTATTATTATTATTTATATCGTGCGATGTGATCGAAAAAATATATTGATCTTTCGATGGTAGTCAGTTAGTTGAATTTCCCCGTGTATAAAAATATTATACAACCTTATTAAATATGGACTAAGATCAGAATCAGAAGGCTCGGAAGCATCTTTCATCCATTTACTTGTCAGATGGGAAGTATCAAATAGTACATATTATTAGAAAACTATTGTAAAGTAGAGTTGACGACATATTTTACATGTAATTTACGTGTGAAACCCATAAACACTAGCTCACTTTTTCTTTTCACAACCTTTTTTGATAGTTTTCAGGTGATTATAATCTGTATCTGTACTGCTTAAAAGATTATTGATTTTATTATCACTATCATTTTTATGTTGATCGGACTCACTTTTTGAGTAACCAATCGTGATACTTTTTGAAAATATAGGTTTTATATCTGATTAAAAATAAGATTTAATCCAGTAAGCAGATGGATTAAAGATGCTCCTAATTCGTACTTTGCTAGTACCTTATTGTCTATAGATATTGTCTATCCTATTTTAAAATTAACCAAAAACGTTCATAAGGAGAGATTAGTATTAATTAGTAAAATGTTATTATGGTCTAAAGATTTCCGATGTGATTTGAATTATTCCAGTTCATGTTCCAAAGATGAAAACATTGCTTATTTTGTAAGTTATTGCGCAAAAAGCTTTAAAACGCGTTATAATTTTTAAAATTCTGCTTATTTTGCGTTCAGCAATGCATATTTAGCTTTATCGAGTTGCAATATTTATTATTATGTATTCGTTAGCTTTTGTGCAATTTAGTTGGAGCTTTTACAAGTTTTAGTTTTTTGCAATATTCAAAATTTGGCTTTAACGTATTTGTTTTTGTGCGGCTTGTTATTTTTTATTTGTTATTCTTTGCAAGCTTTGTTTTGCGTATGTTTATGTTTGATGGTTTTAGAGCATCTTTCTTTAGACGAGTATAAGAATTTCATTGTTAATTTGATTTAGTCATATTTTTTTTTGACAATAAGAGATTCGTATTATAAAACGAAATTCTATTTTATCAGTCTACTTTGAAGCCTTTGATTGGTGTATTTTTTTAGTTTAACCACTCATCGGCTTAAATCAATGCTTGAGTTCGAATCGAGTATTGAGTATCGATTTAAAATACTAATTAGACTCAACAATGTTCTCAAGTAAGTACACACAGTTAGGCTTATGCTAGTTTAAATAAAGGTGTACAAGAGTAGGTATCTAATAGTACAAACTAAGAGGTTGTAATAGTACAATCTTTATTTAGGCTGTGTTCATAATTTAAAGTCCCCGAGGTTAATGTTTCACGACTAGTTAGTGTTAGTACGAGTTTTTTTGTCTAGTTGATTTGAAGCGGGTATCACTAGAGTAGGTTAAGTTTATTTTACCAAAGTATTGTTGGTATTTATTGGGGGAGGCCTTTGTCCAGCAGTGGACGTCTTTCGGCTGAAACGAACGAACGAACGATTGTTGGTATAAGTGGAGTATTAGTTGCGGTAGAAGTTGATTGTAGACGTTAATGTTACTTGTTTTTGTTTAATGGTATCGTAGTTGTCAATTAGATTTATTTGCACTAGCTCTAGCCCACGGCTTTTTCCGCGTGGAATTTGATCTGTCACAGAATATTGTATCCCGCGATCAGAAGTATTTTAACTGTTGTCAAAAGCACATAATATGAATTTAAATATTTGTACCTTGAGGAATTATAGTTTCCCAGTACAAACTTTAACTCTCTTAAAATTCTTCATTTCGACAATAACGTCTTTCCCCGATCGATACAGTGATTTCGGCGCGGAAAAGTAAATCATTACAAAGCATCTTTTAGTTTACTCATTTGACTCAATTTTAGCGTTTTGAAAGCTTGCACAGTTTCGTATTATATTCAATTCAAAATTGTTAGCCAAACACTGCAAAGGTTTTGCGTTATTTCATATTCTGAGACGTGGGCGGAGCTTTGAGCAAACAGTAGTAAAACTACACAATCTTTTACTACCACGCACCTTTGAAAACGTAATTTTACTTTAGCTATACTTATTTTTCTGATAAACGAGATTATTTATTTTTCTTTACAACGTGTTTTAAATAAGGGTGGGTTTCCATTAATGCAGATCCGCGTGGAGTGAAGCCACGGGTGAAGCGGAGCTTGATATTTTTTACATGTTGCGTGTCGGACAGTCTCCCGAACTAAAACATAAAAGTTACCTGTATGTATGTGTAATAAAGGAGGAGCCTTGATGATTATTAATTCATTTGTTATTATTTTAGTGCAATAAAATACATAGTCTATGTAAACTGTATTATTACAGTTTGTAAGATATTTTTTCAGCTGATAAGGGAGGTATATTAGCAGGGTTTCCTTATCACTTAGGCTTGGATCCCTAAAAACCGCTTAGTTTTTCCGTCAAGCGCCGCTTTAATGGAAAGGCACCCTTAACAGAAGGTATTCACCGTTTTATTAACTTTTTAGCACTGTTGTGTTAGTGTTATTTATTTATATCTGTGGTTTTTAATCATGCAGTACCTTTACTTGTTTTCCTCAAGTACCGCTCATTTTGAGACTGGCTGTGTATGACATAGTATTATTTGTGATAGCTCGAAAAGTCCGATTAAGGTATTTTTCAGTATAGTTTTCTTATTCAAAGTACCTATAATAAGATATAATAATATAAATAAAACCAATTTAAGTGCACGTAATTAAAATATACATAAATAGATACCGATACAGGGAATTTTGTACAGATCTTTAAAATAAAGGAATTCTTTATGACTTTCATAAATAAAACTTAACTTCAGGCATGTATAGAAAATTATATTGAAATATACTTTGAATTTTTCATTGGTCTTCATTATTATGCCTAATAATATTATGGGATCATTTCATATTGTAATGAATTAATTAACAAATTGTTTGCTGCGAAAAATATTAAAAATATATTCCTAAAATAATTATGATACCTATATCGATCTACTAAATGGTTGTAAAATGTACGGTTGTATCTAAATGTAGCACTAAAGAGTTCCCTGTTCTTATGTAATAAATGATGTGTTTATGAAGTAAGTTGTATGATTTATCTACAGATTCATTATTTATAAAATGAAATGTTTAAATTAAAACATTTATAATGTAATACCTGACCTCTTACTTTATAAATCTAAAAATTAAGGTTGTTCTAAAATAAGTTGTAGGTAGGTATTTCGATTATCTAACTTTATGATATTCGCTAGCAAAAAAATAACAATTAAGAATTAAATGTTGAAACTGAATCTAATCAAAATCAAATGTAAACAAAAGAAAATTTACTGTGTGAGGAGCCTTATAAATCGGCAACGTAGTGGGAAGGCTGTTACGAACGAAAATCCGATCGCGTAGCGCGTGGGCATTATTACGTAGCGTTTCGTAGCCCGCTACGTAAGACGGGTGTGACGTCACGCGCGCGGCCTGCCTGCTACAGACTGCTATCTTTACGCGTCGTGGAAATTAACTTCATAAGACTGCCGAAGTCTGTAGTAAGTACTTTGAAATGAAAATAAAACTTAAAGATTGGGACAGTAATATAACGAGCAAACAATCCAAAAATAGTGGAGACTAAAGTTTTCGGTGAACTTTTAATATAGTTCCAAAATACTATACTGTCCTATGCATGACTTTGACAGTGGGGCGCCACCGTCAATACCGGATCGCTAGTTTCGATTTTTGCCATGTTGGAAACCATAGTTGAACGATGGTAGCGCCCCCCTGTCATTGAGTTTGGCGGGACAGTTCAGCGTGGGTCATCTATTAAACATGTTGACACCACCAATCCATTGACGTACTTTTTAAAACTGTCAAAACGAAACTCTCCCATAGATTTTGTATGGCGCTACAAGCAAGTAACGTCACTATTTTGTCAAATTACTTTTTTCTATTACAATGCGCCCAAAAATCGTAATATACAGGTAATTTAAAATTAAGTTTTTCAGACCAGAATGATGTGTCTTTTAAGAAATGTTTTGATTTCGAATTATTGGGGAATGGTGTAAAATTGTCTATCCCAACTATAATATAATAATATTATAAATGCGAAAGTAACTCTGTCTGTCTGTCTGTTACGCTTTCCCGCTTAAACCTCGCAACCGATTTTGATGAAATTTGGCATAGAGATAGTTTGAGTCCCGGGAAAGAACATAGGATAGTTTTTATCCCGGTTTTCGAAACAGGGACGCGCGCGATAAAGTTTTTCTGTGACAGACAAAAATCCACGCGGGCGAAGCCGCGGGCGGAAAGCTAGTTATGAATATTTGTTTCGGCAAAGTTTGCGAGTCGAGCGCGGGGGTGCAGGCGGTGGGCGTGCTCTAGGCGGGGCGGGCGGGGCGGGGGAGGGGCGCGAGCACGTGCGTCGCGCTCACGTGGTGGCGCGAGCGCGCTGCCTCGCGTCCGTCGTGCCGGCCGTATGAATAATTGTGTACGGAGTGAATGAATCGATGCGGCGGCGGCGCGGGCGGCGGGCGCGGGCGGCGGGCGGGCTGCGTGGACGGGTGCGCCGCGGCGCGCCAGTCTCGTGCCGGTAGTCGGTAGTGCAGCCGAGCGACTCCGGGAGCCGTCCCCGCCGCGTCTCGCTCGATCGTAGTCGTAGTGCGCCCGCCGCTGGCCCGCCCCGGCCCCCGGCGCCAGAGCCCATGGATACCCAAAGTCAGGACGCGGCCCGCAGCCCCGCGGAGGTGCCCAACGACCCCGGGTACGACCCGCCGCCGCACGCCGACACCATCCCGCCCTTGGCCGCCTCTGATCTTATGTTTATCTTGCAGGAAGATGTTCGTCGGAGGACTCAGCTGGCAGACTAGTCCAGGTACGCTCGACCGAGGCCCACCGCTGTACGCCTTCGCCGGCGGCGGATGTGCATCCGTTGCAATCGCCGGCGACGGCTGATCGCCCTCTTAGATCGCGGAAGAACGTCTCTAACCGTCACGGACTTGTGCGGCCCGGTTTTCAGTGATGAAGTATCGAGTTCGGTACATAAACACCGGTAAAAGTTTGGTAGTCAGCTGATTAGTTACTCGTGTTCAAAAGATGCCGATGCGGTGAGATAAAGTAGTGGACGTGAATATGTCGGTTGTACACGCGTGTCGGAGGTGTTTTTCATGGCTGAAATGTGTGTAATACACTGAAATTCAGTTATGTTGTTGAAATGCATCGGAAGTCAGGTGTGCGATGGCGGCCATGCCGACTGCGCGCGCAGCCTCCGCCGCCGCGCCGGCCTCTCCGCCCTACAGGCTTGCGCGCTATTTTCAGCCTTATCGCTATTAATATTCAGCGGATAATTCCAGTACAGGTTCCTTTAACCGGCTTCTGGCCCAAACAGTTATCACAACATAACCTCAATCTTAAGTACGTAGAGCACGGCACCGCCGCGATTCCTCCCCGTGTCACAAAGTAGGGTGAAATATAATTGGCGTTAAGTTAAACTTGTATTGATATGTGAAATTATTTGAAATACAAATCAAAATCGTGTTTATTGTTTTATTCCATACCTGATCAGACATTACGATAAGTTTTCAAAACTTTTTACCTACATGGTAAAACTTTAAAAAAATATAAAGTAAATTAGTTTAAAATTCGATATTGAAATTTTTATGATAGTTTCGCAATCTTGAAATGCGTGTGTAGTCTGTAGTCATCGTTTTGCCGCCTGACGCGATCGTGAGAGCGCAATTTTCGTTGGTTTTGCAAGTAACAGTCGCACGCGCAAAGGTCCGACACGAGTGATGCGCCCGGTATTGGGTCGATCGCCCACGCCGCACTTTGATCCTCTCTATCTATGCCAACTTTGTTCTTCTCTGGAGATCTAGGCCGCTGCATCGGCAACACTCAAGATATTATCGGATCTGTCGATCGAGCAGGGATACCGGGAAATAAATAACGTAAATAGACGTACTTTCATGTTACGATGTTTATCCGCGGTTAGAGTTTACTGTTTAGATAGATTTTGACGTGAGCTAGGTAGGCGTATTTGATATTCCTGGTAAGACCACCCTCTCAGATGATTATTTAGCTCAGTATGAGAAATCCAAATGTAATTACAACGTTTTGGTGAAAGAGCATGGCATTGATGTATTATTACATCATACTTTCAAGAAAAATATCTGAAAATTTTACGTCGTTAGAACGTTTAAAATTAGCAATTAATTATTTCCTCGTGACGGATTTAGACGATTTTATCTTTTTGAAATGATAAACGATGTCGCGCATTTGAACCCGAACATCTGAACATATTTCGTCTCATAAAACTGTTATTTAATTTTACAGAATAACTTTAAAAGCATTATATTTTTAACTATGAATAAATGTGGAAGTTAGACCAGACCAGACCAGACCAGACCTAATCATGTTTTTAGAACCCGCATAGTTTAAAGTAATTGCGGTACACATTTATTGATTTAATTTCTAATTTAAAAATTGCTGTTGTTGACTAAAATAAATTATTGTAATGTTGTACCTACATAATGAAAGGAATCAGTAGGCAGCTCATCAAGCCCAGTAAGCAGTAGTTTTCTTGTTTGTATATTATACATAATATTATAATGTAATTTTTGTAGGAATATTATTATTCTCTGTAGCTATTTTAAAATCGTTTAAGGCAACCTTGAATCTATATAGATCTACGGTTGTAGACCTCAGTAAGAATTTTCTCATAAAAATTGAGTTGTCTCTAGTATCATGTTTGCCTAAGAACAACAACCTTACTAAGATAAGATATTTTTTGAATTTAATATCACTGTTATCGCAAGCGATAACGTAGCGCCCCTCCATAATCTCAGTCTTACAAATATCAAAGTCGTCAATTCTCGCTGTCCCAGAATCGTTAAATGTGAGAATCAATCACAACCTGTTGATAAGATTGCTAAGCAGAGTACTAAAATTGTACAATATTGCACTACATTCGATGCTAAAATATCTTTTACATCGTTATTAGAGTAACATGTTGCATTTGTAACCACATTGTTTGCGTCAAATAATCGATATAAAATAATCTTTTTACTGACGACGCAACAACAGATTTCGATAAACCGTAATCCGATTATTGAAAGCCCTTTACCCTGGTTTGATTCGATATTAATTCGATGTAATATTAAAACTGCTGCGAAATAAAAATAACTTAGTTATCTCGAGGAATTTGTTATGAAAATAATGTTATTAATTACAGTTCTTGAAGTGTTCCTCATTACTTTTTTATCTGACCTCTACCGTAATCACAAGACGATATAGAGCAGTGTTTTTGTGACCGTTGAATTTGAAGTATTCCCCTAATTTCGTCGGTAATCATGAGAGCGGAAGTAACCTCTTCCACAATAACATCTCTATGACACGATCTTTTAGCTTTAACGACATTTTAACGACGAAACAATGTCAACGTGTCTGCATCTTTCGAATTTATCTTCCGTTCGGCTGTACAAAAGTTCAAGCCGTCATATTTTAAATAACCTCAGTTACGAAACGGGACAAGGATAAGTTATTCTAGTTTATATTACTAAAGTAACTCATTATTTCAGTGTTGCAAGCGCAAGCCGTTTTACAGCGAGTAGATGCGAGACAAAAGGTTGAGCTCCATTATCTGCGTCGGTTCGCGCCTGACATATCATTGACACGCTGCTTCAAGAGCTACCGACCGAACTATGTAGATATAGCAGATAAACAGCGCAAAACGTGTATTGTCGCCTTGGTGCCAGCATAGACTTGCACGCGGGTAGATTGCGCACGCGGTGCTCTCGATTTAGGTGGACGCCTATGTCCGTTTCCTTTCTAACTCCTTTGATCTTTTGAAGTCTTTATAATGGACGTCATTTTTAATTGGGTGTTCAGCGTTCAATGCTCATCGTGTCGGGTTCTAATTAATGTTAAATCATCAAAACGACGGATTTACTCATGATTTATTCAATTTAAAACACCTTTTAAAGCGCCTAAAAATAATAGCGTCAAACTGTTACTTAATTAAATGTAAACCGCTAGAAATCTCAGCTTTGTTTTATCGTAAGGTTGTGGATTTAAGTCATCAACCTCAATCAGTAGCAAAACGGTAATTTCATACCCTATTTCGCACGCTGATCAATCTGTGTCCAAACTGCCTTATTTTTGTGAACTTTCTAAGATTTCGAAGTCTTATTGGTTTCTTATTAGGAGCGAGACTGTATTCCAGTTAGTCTTTCTTAGTTTCCTGTGCCTGAGCCCGTCGTGCTAAGGTCGCGCGTGCCTTTGGCCCGAGCACAATAAGGCGAGCGGGTCGCTCGTTACGGTTATTATCGGGCGATTGTTTGGTTGGCCCCGTGCTCGTGCGCATTGCGTCTCCACTTTAACTCAGGGATTTTGTTATGCGATAGTGTTGTGATGCTGTTGTCGATAGATGAACCTTCTAGGTTCAAATAGTGAACAATGCTAGCTAACAGGATTACTTTGTCAGCCCGAGCAGCTAACAAATGCTATTACAGCGCTATCTATGTTTTTATCGCTGTTTATTTCTATAAGTAGTATTTTTTTCTTCGCTCTTTTACGTACACACTGATCGATAATTTCCAGTCCAATAATTGTGTAATGGTATATTGATAATATCTTTCAAGATTTTAAATAGATTATTTACGTTCATTTTCCTGAGGAGATTATTGAAATTGTTTCAGATCGATTGATTACGCATCGATAGAGATTACCGGTGGTAGCACTATAAGCCGATTTCCTTTGAGTCTTTACGAGCTGTCTGCCGGCGCGGTTGCTTCACACACGGCGGAAAATTTTAACGTCCGACTGTTAATATTCTATTGTTCACGAGAGTAGTTCGAGTCTTCTCTGCAATCACTTATGATGTTCACTTCTGAACTATTAATATCCATTCTGTGTTCTGCTAGGGTGAGGTCGAGAGATACGTATTAATATTATACAGGAAATTCCTAAGTTTTTGTGATAGTTTTCGTGTAGAAGTTGTAGCTTTGTACAATGTGCTGTTTTCTCATATTTTTACATTAAACTTTTATTCATGATGACGATCGTTCAGTTATCAGGGTTTAGTTATGAAAATAAAAACTGAAAGTCTTTTAAATCAGAATCAGCCTGAAAAATATTTAAAATGAAATTAAACTGCATTTACGACTAAGTCGCCGCATTGTAGGAATTATCGTTAAATTTCAGCGAAGACAAAAGCCCCTGAACCCCTTTCAGTCTGAAAGGGTCACACTCCATTCTGCGATTGCGAGGAATTCACCTTTGCCTTCATCTATTATTAATCCCGAGATTTTGCATACGCTGAATAATGCAGCAGTCGACTAATGCAGAACGAACGGATTGTCCTTATTTAATTTCCACTCTGAGTGCGGTGACGCAGCAAACTCAGGAACTCGCCGCCAATCTTGGTGTCTCCAGCTAACGTCATTTCGGTCGGATCTGCTTCCCTATTAGACGCAACTTTGTCCCAACACTGTTAATGAATGCAGAGAGCATCGTATACAAACAGTGTCCCGACTTTAGTGTACAGTTGAGTTGACCCGTGACGAGTATCACTCAACACGTCTACTGTAAAAACGGGGAAAATATTTGAGTCGTTAACGCGGCCTTTTTGTGGAAGTGTAATCGGATCTGTCGGTGGATTCCCGTAACGCATGTTGGCTGAACTATAATTACCGGAAGATGCTGGGACTCCGCAGCTGGGTTTGACGGCTCGCCAGATAAACATCCCGGTGCCCGCCGAGGGCTGTCCGCTCCGGCTGCGATTAAGTTTCGCATGCCATACCAATACGTAGGCGACGGAGCTAAGAGCTCTGTAAACTAGGCTCAAAATGAACGAGACAGCTCGACGTTTCATTACGA